GGTTCTCGCTCTTGCTCAGGCTAGGTTTTTGAACCCCTGACCTTTGAGTTGATCCTTCCTGCCTCCAGCCTCCCTCCAGAGTAGCTGGGAGAACAGGCACACGCCCCACGGGCCCGGCTCATTTTTTCGTATATATATTTTTGGTCGGTCAATTAATTTCTTTCTTATCTTAGTAGAGACGGGGGTCTCGCTCTTGCCTCAGGAGGCTGGCCTCCAACTCCTTGACCTCCAAGCGAATCTCGGGCCTCGGCCTCCTCCCAGAGTGCCGGGGATGACAGGCGTGAGCCTCTGCTTCAGCTTTCAAAAGCAAAGGTTATGCAACGTGTTTGCCAACAAAGCAAAGTGTCTGCAGAAACACGCATCTCCCGTCCCTCTTTTTGGGGGGGACAGGCTGCCACTAACTCCCTGCTATCCCTTGCTTAAAAAAAGAAAGAAAAAAAGAAAAAAGGGATTAATTATACATAAAAGGCACCCGAATCCAAGCCCAGCCGACCTCTTGCGCCCGCACCCCCCAAGCACACAGAGCTTCCTTCCTCCTCCTCTCCTCCTCCCCAAATACAGTTAACAAATCAAGCAAACAGGTGCAAAGGCCGGTTCCAGGGGGGGAACCCAGGGGGTCATGCAAACACCCCGAACCCCAAAAAAGGCCCGGTTCCCATGCAGTGCCAGGGGCTGGGGTCCCAAATGGGGGTGCCGGGGTGCGCAGAGGTTAACCGCCAGGTCATGCAAAACATCCCGGAACCCGCCAAACAAAGGGCCGGGGGTTCCCGTACCAGGGCCAGGGGTCTGGGGTACCCCCAACAGGGATGCCGGAGGTGCGCAGAGGGTTAACCCCAGGGGTCATCGCAAACACCCCGGAACCGCAAAAATAAGCCGGTTTCCCCATCCATCCCAGGGGCTGGGTCCCCCAACAGGGGGTACTGGGGTGCGGCGTGGGAACCCGCAAAATAAGCGGTCCCATTCACCATCCCAGGGCTGGGTCCCCCAACAGGGGTACTGGGGGTGCGCAGTGGGGGAACCCGCAAAATAAGCATCCCCATTTCCATTCCCAGGGTGGGTCCCCAAACAGGAGGTATGGGGTGCGCAAGTGGGGAGGGACCTCGCAAAATAAGCGGCTCCCATCCCAGTTCCAGGGGCTGGTCCCCCAAACAGGTGATGCTGGGGGGTTGCGCAGAGGGGAACCCCAAAATAAAGCGGTCCCCATTCCCTTGGGGGCCTGGGTCCCCCAGAGGTGACTTGGGTGCGCAGTGGGGGAAACCCCAAATAAGCCGGTCCCATTCTCGTCCCTGGGGGCGTGGGTCCCCCAACACGGGTGCCGGAGGGGGTGAAACCCAGGGGGTCATGCAAACAACCCCGGGAACCCCCAAATAAGCCAATTCCATCCCGTCCCAGGGCCTGGTCCCCCAAACAAGGGGTTTCCGGGGTGCCCGAGGGGAACCCCAGGGGTTTCACTGCAAAACCCCGGAACCCCCAAAGCCTGGTTCCCATCCCGTTCCTTGGGGCCTGGGTCTCCCAATCAGCGTTGCCGGGGTGCGAAGAGGGGGGGGAACCCCCCAAATAGAGCCAGTCCCTCCCTGGGCCTGGGTCCCCAAATCCAGGAGGTCTGGGGGTTGCACAGTGGGGAACCCCAAATAAGCCAGTCCCCATCCGTCCCTGGGGGCTGGGTCCCCAAACACGGGTGCGGAGAGGGGTGAAACCCAAGGGGGTCATGCAAACACGGAACCCAAATAACCAGTTACCCCATCCGTCCCAGGGGCCTGGATCCCCAAACAGGGGTGCCAGGTGCGCAAAGGGGTAAACCTCAGGTTCATGCAAACACCCGGCTCCCCAAAATAAGCGGTCCCCATCCTGTCCTGGGCCTGGTCCACCAAACAGGGGGTATCCGGGGTGCCGAGGGGGAACCCCAGGAGGGGTCATGCAAACACCCCGGAACCCCCCAAAGAAAGCCTGTTCCCATCCCGTTTTCCTGGCCTGGGTCCCAACAGGGGTGCCGGGGTGCCCAGAGGGGGGAACCCCCCAAATAGCCAGTCCCATCCCGTCCCTGGGACCTGGGTCCCCAAACAGGGTGCCGGCGTGCGGCAGGAGGGGGAACCCCAGGGGGGGATGCAAACACCCCGGAACCGCAAAATAAGTCCCCCTTGTGTTCTATCGTCCCTGGGGCCATGTGTGTCCCTAGTGGTTACTGGTGTCTGTGTGAACCTCCAAATATGCGTACTTCCAGGACTGGTTTCCAGAACCAGGTTTGTTCCGGGGCGCGCAGACGGAGGAAACCCCAGGGAACATGTCTCTGTTAATATAAGCCTGTTCCCATCGTCCAGGGCCTGTTGTGTCTCAACAGGGGTGCCGGCGCGCAGTGAGGGGCGGGGGACCCCTGGCAATATGTTGTCATCCCATCACTGGGGCCTGGGTACCCCACCCCAAACAGGGGTACTGGGGTGCACAGTGGGGGAACCCCCCAAATAAGCCGGTCCCCATCTCGTCCCTGGGGCCTGGGTCCCCCAAACAGGGGTGCCCAGAGGGTGAACCCCAGGGGGTCATGCAAACACCCCGGAACCCCCCAAATAAGCCGGTCTCCATCCCATCACTGGGGCCTGGGTACCCGAAACAGGGGTGCCGGGGTGCCCAGAGGGGGAACCCCGGGGGTCATGCAAACACCCCGGAACCCCAAAAAAAAGCGGGTTCCCATCCTGTCCCTGGGGCCTGGGTCCCCCAAACAGGGGTTCCGGGGCGCGCAGAGGGGGACCCCGGGGTCAAGGCGACCGCAGAGCGACCCCCGACGGGAAACGAGGGCCGTGGGGGCGGGGAGGGGGCGCCGGGTCCCCGGCGCGGGCCTGTGACGTCACACCGGGGGCGACGGACGCCCGGCCGCCACCGGGAGGCCCCGGGCCCGCGTCGCCGCCGGCGTTTGGCGGGACACGCCTCCCCTCGCGACCGTCGCCACCGGGGGGACCCCGAGAGACGGGGACCCCGAGAGAGGGGACGCAGCTGGGGGGACCCCACTCACCGGACGGGCGCCGGGGAGCAGCCGCTGGGGACGCGGCCAGCGCCGTCGCTCGAGCCTCCGCGCCGGCTCCTGCCGCTGCCGCGGCCGCCGCGCCCGGGCCATGCCCGTGACCGGGCCGCCACGCCCCTCCCGGCCCGCCCCTCGAGCCGCCTCCGCCGCCTCCGCCTCCGCCTCAGGCCCGGCGCGGGACCGCGCGAACCGGCGCCGCCGCCGCCGCCGCCTACAACCTCCGCCCCCGGCCGGACGCGCATGCGCGAGCCGGGTGGACGCGCGCACGTCGCAGGGGGGCGGGGCCACGGCGCGGGAGACTGACGTGGCCACGCCCACGCTCGCACTCTGCTAAAGGGCGAGGGGAGATGAGGCGCAGACGTAGGGGGCGGGGCCACCGAGCGGGAGGCTGACGTGGCCACGCCCACGCTCGCACTCCGCTAAAGGGCGAGGGGAGATGCGGCGCAGACGTAGGGGGCGGGGCCACCGAGCGGGAGGCTGACGTGGCCACGCCCACGCTCGCACTCCGCTAAAGGGCGAGGGGAGATGCGACGCAGACGTAGGGGGCGGGGCCACCGAGCGGGAGGCGGACGTGGCCACGCCCACGCTCGCACTCTGCTAAAGGGCGAGGGGAGATGCGGCGCAGACGTAGGGGGCGGGGCTACGGAGCGGGAGGTAGACGTGGCCACGCCCACGCTCGCATTCGGTTAAAGGGCGAGGGCAGATGCGGCGCAGACGTAGGGGGCGGGGCCACGGCGCGGGAGGCGGACGTGGCCACGCCCACGCTCGCACTCGGCTAAAGGGCGAGGGGAGATGAGGCGCTGCCGTAGGGGGCGGGGCCACGGGGCAGGAGACGGACGTGGCCACGCCCACTCTTCCATCCGGGTAAAGGGCGAGGTATGAGGCGGCGCAGTTGTAGGGGGCGGGGCCACGGCGCCGGAGGCTGACGTGTACCTGCCCGCCCGGGGCGCCCGCCTACATACGCACGCGGTCCCCGGGGGAGCTGAGGTGCGGCGCTACAAGGGGCAGAACCACAGCCTGGGGCTGACGTGAACCCACCCACCTACGCACTCAGCCGCTGGGCGAGCTGAGCTGCCGCGCCTTAAAGGGAGCGGGACCGTGACCCTTGAGGGTGACGTGGCCACGCCCCTTTCTGGCGCCTACGCACGCACGCAACATCCTGGGAAGCTGAGCTGAGGGGACGCAAGGGGGCGGGGCCCCGCCCTGGGTCTGACGTGGCCACGCCCACCCACCCGGCTGCCTGACGAACTGAGCTGCGGCGCCGTAAGGGGCGGGGCCACGGCCCGAGAAGGAGACGTGACTCCGCCCCCTGGCGCGACCTCCCACGCACCCTTGCGGTAGCTAGCCGAGCTGAGGTGCGTCGCCGCAGGGGGCGGGGCCCAGGGCTGACGTCGCCCCGCCCACCCGCCCACTCGGCCGCTGAAAGAGCCCAGCGGCGGCGCCGTAAAGGGGGCGGGGCCACGGCGCGAGAAGCAGACGTGCCCCGCCCACCGACTCCGCTGCCGGAGGAGCGGAACTACGTCGCCGTAGGGGGCGTGGCCAAGGCTGAGGAGGCGGACGTGGCCCTGCTCCGCTGCTCGCATACATAGAGACGCGTTCGCTGGCCAAGAGCCGAGCTGTGGCGCTTAAGGGGGCGGGGCCACGGCCCGAGAAGCTGACGTGGCCCCGCCCCTTCGCCTACGCACCCACGCACTCGCTGGGCCTGCTGAGGTACGGCGCCGTAGTGGGCGGGGCCACGGCCCGAGATGCTGACGTGGCCCCGCCCCCTTCGCCCACGCGCCTGCGCACCCGCGCACTCGCTGGGCCTCCTGAGGCGCGGCGCCGTAGGGGGCGGTACCACGTCCGGAGAATCGGACGTGGCCCCGCCTCCCCAAGTCCCGCCTACGCACCCACGCAGCCAATAGGCGAGCTGAGCTGTGACGCCGGCCCTGGGAGCTTGCGTGGCTCCTCCCACCGACGCAGCCGGGTATGTGGGGAGGGGGGCGGGGCTACGCTGAGCATGCGCAGAGCGCGCTCCCAGCGGTCTTAGGTAAACTTCCGGTAAAAAGCGCCGGAAGTGGCGCCTTCGTGGCCCGGGAGCGACGCTTTTTAGCAATGGCGCCTCCGGGCGGGATTCCACCTGCTCACCTGGGTCCCCGGTCCTCGTTCTCCGCACCTGAGGTCGCGGGCTTCCGGGAGAAGGGCAGAGAGGACGCCGTCGTTATTTTCAGTGACATTTTCCCGCCGAGGGGCCTGCAGGAGGCCGCCAGCCTCTACCGTTATGTATTCCCGTATTTCTAACACGTAATTTTCCCAGCGTCGCTTTCGCATTGAGACTTCCTCCGTGATTTGTTTTGATTTTTTTTTTGAGATAGAGTCTGGCTCGTTTTTTTTTTTCCTATATATCTTTAATTGGCCAATTAATTTCTTTCTATTTCTAGTAGAGACGGAATCTCGCTCTTGCTCAGGCTGGTTTCGAACTCCTGACCTCGATAGCGAGCCTCCTACTTCGGCCTCCCTCCCGAGTAGTAGCTGGGACTCCAGGCATGCGCCTCCACGCCCGGCTCGTTTTTTTCTATATATATTAGTTGGCCAATTAATTTCTTTCTATTTATAGCAGAGACGGGGCCTCGCTCTTGCTCAGGCTGGTCTCGAAGTCCTGGCCTCGATAGCGATCCTCCCGCCTCGGCCTCCCTCCCGAGTAGCTGGGACTACAGGCGTGCGCCACCACACCCGGCTTAGTTTTTCTATATATTTTTAGTTGGCCAATTAATTTCTTTCTATTTATAGTAGAGACGGGTCTCGCTCTTGCTCAGGCTGGCCTCCAACTCCTGACCTCGATAGCGATCCTCCCCCCTCGGCCTCCCTCCCGAGTAGCGGGGACTACAGGCACGCGCCACCACGCCCGGCTCGTTTTTTCTATATCTTTTTAGTTGGGCAGTTAATTTCTTTCTATTTATAGTAGAGACGGGGTCTCGCTCTTGCTCAGGCTGGTCTCGAAGTCCTGACCTCGATAGCGATCCTCCTACTTTGGCCTCCCTCCCGAGTAGCTGGGACTCCAGGCATGCGCCACCACGCCCGGCTCATTTTTTCTCCATATATTTTTAGTTGTCCAGCTCATTTGTTTCTTATTTTTTTAGTAGACACGGGATCTCGCTCTTGCTCAGGCTGGCCTCCAACTCCTGGCCTCAAGCAGTCCTCCTGCCTCGTCCTCCCAAGTAGCTGGGACGACAGGCATGCGCCACCACGACGGGCTCATTTTTTTTCTATATATATTTTTAGTTGTCTAATTCATTTCTTTCTCTTTTTAGCAGAGACGGGGGGTCTCGCTCTTGCTCAGGCTGGCCTCAAACTCCTTACCTCGAGCGAGCCTCCTGCCTCGGCCTCCCAGAGTAAAAGCCCTGTCTTTAAAAAAAAAAAAAAAAAAAGAGGTGGGAGGGGGAGCATGTGCAATATAGGTGACCTTGGCCGGGCGCGGTGGCTCACGCCTGTCATCCCAGCACTCTGGGAGGCTGAGGAGGGAGGATCGCTGGAGGTCAGGAGTTCAAGACCAGCCTGAGCGAGAGCGAGACCTCGTCTCTAGTATAAATAGAAAGGAATGAGCTGGACAACTAAAAATATATATAGAAAAAATGAGCCGGGCGTGGTGGCGCACGCCTGTAGTCCCAGCTACTCGGGAGGGAGGCCGAGGCGGGAGGATCGCTTGAGGTCAGGAAGTCGAGGCCAGCCTGAGCAAGAGCGAGACCCCGTCTCTACTAAAAAAAAAAAAAAAAAATAGAAAGAAACGAGCTGGATGACTAAAAAAATATAGAAAAAACGAGCCGGGCGTGGTGGCGCAAGCCTGTAGTCCCAGCTACTCGGGAGGGAGGCTAAGGCGGGAGGATCGCTTGAGCCCAAGAGTTTGAGGCTGCAGTGGGCGAGAGTGAGAGAGACTCTGTCTGAAAAACAACAACAGCAAAAAACATTTGTACCCCATCAAATGTCAAAATAAAAGAAAAAACAATAATAATAATAAAAAAAAAGAAGTGGCCGGGGGCAGAGGCTCACGCCTGTAATCCCGGCACTCTGGGAGGCCGAGGCGGGAGGCTCGCTCGGGGTCAGGAGTTCAAAATCAGCCTGAGAGAGAGCGAGACCCCGTCTCTACTATAAAAAAAATAGAAAGAAATTAATTGGCCAACTAATATATATATATAAATAATTAGCCGGGCGTGGTGGCGCATGCCTGTCGTCCCAGCTACCCGGGAGGGAGGCCGAGGCAGGAGGCTCGCTGGAGGCCAGGAGTTGGAGGCTGCTGTGAGCGAGGCTGACGCCACGGCGCTCGCTCCAGCCTGGGCAACAAAGCGAGACTCTGTCTCAAAAATAAAAAATAAAAAAAATAGAAGTAACAGAGTTCATAAACCAATTTCCAAAAATATAAAAAATACAAATCTTACCATTGGCTGTCCTGGATAAAAAGGAAAAAAAAATAAAAAAAATTAAAAAAAATAATACAAATCTAAGCTTCTGTGCAAGAGATTCCAAAAAAGTTCCTGTGAAATGATAATCTGTATTTTAAAAAAAAAGGGAAAAAAGTAAAATTAGAAAATGTTAAAGTTAAAAAAAGAAAAAAAACTAAAAATAAAGACAGGTTGGGCTCCAGGTAGAGGCCGGACAGTGAGGTGCAATTCTGACTTCGACCAGCAGGGGGGAGCAGAGCTGCAAATTTGGGCTGAGTCCACAGCTCAGGTGGGCTGGCAGGTGACTGACAGGCCCAGGCAGGTGTCACCAACTGGGGTGTCACCCTGGGGGTGGGGACCGCCCAGCGCCCCTCAACCTGGGGAGGGAGTTTGAGGCTGAAGAAAGAATGGAGGCCGGAAGAGCTGGGGACATTCAGGCCTGCCCTTGGTGGCCAGCAAGCGGGGGAGGCTCAGGGGGGAGGCTGGGAAAGAGGCTTGTTGGAAAAGGAGGCTCTGGGCTCACGCCTGTCATCCCAGCACTCTGGGAGGCCGAGGAGGGAGGCTCGCTGGAGGAGGCCGGGAGTTGGAGGCCAGCCTGAGCAAGAGCGAGACCCCGTCTCTACTATAAATAGAAAGAAATTAATTGGACAGCTAAAAATATATAGAAAAAACGAGCCGGGCGTGGTGGCGCATGCCTGTAGTCCCAGCTACTCGGGAGGGAGGC